TGAAGTGTAGATGTTAGCCCTTAGGGGAGGGGAACGTGGGAGCTCCGAAGTGAGAGTCAGTATCCTCCTAGCCTAGCTGCAGATTTAGTAAACAAGCGTAGGATTAGTCAATGTTCTTTATGCCTGGACCAAAGGGTAAAGAATAGGTATGCTCCGATTTGGCACAATACAAATTGAACTGATTCACTTTATCCATTCACTATAACTTCTTGACAAGGAGAATGATACTTTCTTATATATTGACTATCACATTAAACACCTCATTAGTATAATTAGTTATTTAAGAGTTATTAAAAATTACATATTTATTTCAATTGCCTATTAGTGACAGATAAACAAATGCATTGTTACAATTGAGTATCGTTTTTCTAAAATCTTAGTTCGTAGTTCTAATATTACTCCCTGTGGGATCGATATCTAGGACTCCATTAGAGCACTATAATACTTAAGCGATACGTATACTTGCATTGATAAGTGTGACTTTACAATTATTGAATATTTTATACATCTATTATTATCGAGTCTATAACTGTTATTAAGTTTTGGTACAGTTGCTGAGGAATTAAATCTTCTAGCAGTAGTATTAAATACTTATATTTTTAAGCATATATAAAGTTATTTTTAATTTTTAAGCATATATAAAGTCGTTGTCAGATTCCAGTACAAACTCTTAATGAATCATGTCATAGGCTTTCTTTAGATCAAGTTTGTAGATAAGGTTACCCCCTACATGATTTATCTATATCATTCAACAATTCTTGAGCTAAGAGCACATTATCCCTAATCTATATGCCCTTTACAAATGTTGCCTGCTTAGGACTGATCAGGTGAGTTAAATGGGGTTGCAACCTTCCAGCAAGAACTTTGTTAATTATTTTGCTGACAACATTGGTAAGACTTATTGGTCTGAATTAATGCCACTGATCCCTGATTGTCGATTTAGGAATAAGAACTATAGTACCTGCACAAAAATAGTTAGGTAGATTATTTCCTTGGAAAAAACTTTACAAGGCCAGAACCACGTCATCTTTAATGATTTCCCAAGCTTTTTTGTAAAAAATCTAAACTGAAACCATCTGTTCCAGGTGACCTCCCACTGTCTATAGTGGTAAGGTCATTCAAGATTTCCTCAATAGGGACTTCTGCAAGGTTGAGTATTGTGGTATAAACATGATCTGAGAGGAAAATAGATGGATCTATGTGGACTCTTTGTGAAGTGCGGCTCTGCAATAACTTTTGACAGTAAGCGACAAAATTTTCAGCTATTTCCGTGGGGTCTCTAATCCATCTTCCATTATCATCTTTAATAGAGTGGATAGTGTTGCATTTACGCTTGTATTAGTGGCAAGCATGGTAATATTTGGTACTTTTTTCCCTATCAATAAAACATCTTGGAAGCTTTTTTGTTTCAGGAATACTTGCTGCCATGCCACTGTAGTGGGAGTTTTTCATTAGCTTCCAGTATATAATATTCATCAGCCACCCCATTAACAGCAACAGCTTCTAAGGCCACCAAGTCTTTTTCAGCATGTTCTACCCTTGTGAGAACATTCCCAAAAGTACTCCAATTCCAATGAGTAAGTGCCTTCCCCAACTTGTTTTTGCAAAAGCCACAGTTTAATGAAAGTTGGGGTAATTAATGTCCCTACAGTGAGTTGAAAAAGTGCTAAGAAAGTCATGATGAATAGACCACATATTAAGATATCTGAAAGGATTCTGGCCCTGGTTTAATGAAGCAATAATAGTGATGAAAAGGGGTCTTTGGTCCGACCCAGCAAGACTGAGATGTGTGACAGTGTTATGTAGAAAATGCTTGGGGTTCCCAAATATTTTTGGGGTTATGGTAAGCTAGAGGTTCCAAAATGGCCAAGCACCATACTTTGTGTTTTTTGTTTAAGTGTTGCAGCCTTTTCAAGGAGTGGGGGTGCGCAATCCCTCAGATGTTCCAACATAAGACATTAATAATTGTGGGAAAACTTGGCTCTCCCCCTGGTGAGTCTAGTAAGAGACTCCCTTCAAAATGAATAAGAGCTTCCAGCTTCCAAAATGTAAGTGTCTTGATGGGGTTCCCAAGGGAGTTTCTTCTTTTTCCTGCCTTTTTTGGGTCTGTCATTCAACTTCAAGGGTATGTTGAATTTCCTGGACAAGATTCGAGGGGGGACGTCAGTACAATCCTGCATCTAGGGTTTTGAAATCTGCAATGTGCCTTGCCCAATATCATCTTCTAAATGATTAGGAGCTGGCTCAGGGGGACCAAAATCAGGATTGTTAACAATGGCCACAATTTGTGGTTGGGGTTCAGTGTCCCCATACCTCATAACAATAGTTGTTGTCTCCCCAACTTCAGTAGTTGGGTCAATAGCTGGTACCAGCTCAGGTTCCACAGGGTTACTTTAACTATTGTTTCCTCTCAACGGTTTCAGGTTGGGGTGAAGTCGATAGCATTTGTCATTTGCATGACCAAACATGCTACAATGATTACAATATTTGGGGTGTTGTTCCATGATGATGGTTACAGTATTTGGTGTGTTGTTCCATGATGATGGGTTTCCAGTACCCAGCATGGGCAGTACCCACCCAAACTTCCTCAATTGGTCGTAAAGTAATATCTCTTTTAACCAAAATCCTGGCCACAGATGGTCTTGAAAGATTGAAGGTGGAGATGTCAAGTTTCATTGGTCAGCCAAGTAAAGCTCAAATAGAGAAGAGGACTCTGTGGTTAAAAAAATGTAGCTTCAAATTTGGAAGTTTGAACCAAATAGAAATAATGGATGCTTCCTTTTTAGGATCAAATGCAGGAATCCGTTTAAGGAGTTTCATTGTGGTGTTTTCAATTTGGATGAATTTCATTGAGAACACTTTTCCACCATCAAGTAATCCAATCTTCCAATTGCCAACTAATTTGAGATCAACAAAAACTTTTCTAATAGAATCCATCTTGGGGTGCGCCATCTGAAATTTCCCAATAAGAGTGAATTTGTTTTCTTTGCTAGTTCAGTCACTTCTTGTTCCGAAAAAATGAAAGCATGTCTCCTTGCCTTTTTGTTGCCTTGCAAGATGAGATCACAATCTATCTTGCCTTCAATTGCATCATGGTAGACTTGTGGAAAGACTAATTTGTCACCAAGTGAAGTCCCACTTGGTTCCAGTTTGTTTCCCCACGAAGTTGAGGTCTGCAGCCACCAGATCAGCCGCCATGGAGAAAGTGAATGGGACCAAGGCTAAGTAAAGAGAAAGCGCAAACCAAAAACAAGCAGACAGAGAGCAGGCCAATGGAACAATAACTAACGAATAAAAACAAGAGTGTGCACGAGAAGCACTCAAACAACAAGAAGAGAACCAGGAAGAAAGTAAATTGGAAGGAAGACCTCTGCAGCAGGAAAAGGAACCAAGCCACCACTACCTTGGCTGCCAACCGGCAGCGGAAATATATATATATATATATATATATATATATATATAATTAAAAATTTTTGCTACTGCTATTTAACTGATAAATATATAGTCAGCAAAACAGTAATAGAAGTCAATTTTTAAGATGCAATTTGTTAATCAGGTGGCATCCAATAATCACATACAAGAGACACTCACCAATAACATTACTGCAACTTCGCTAAAAACCAAGCAACAATTTGGCGTAACGAAGTTTGATATTGAGATGATCTATCCAAGATTATATGGAAAGGAAATCAATCAAATACCACCTTGATAGCAATCAAATAATAGAAAATCGAACAACATTTTTTTAAATATATGTATTACATATCACACACAAAGGAATTAATGACAATTCATAAGATCAAAAAAGATTGTCACGCTAATAAATACAATAGCAGTGCAGGACAATTTCATGAGAAGAATGAGACAACGGGCTCTTCATGCTCAACGTCCTTTGCACATTGCCACCAACCAAAATTCCGAAAGAGAAAAAAAAAAAGAGCCGCAGCGAGCGCTATCGATATCTCTTCATAATTATGCTACAATGTCCAGAAATATTACTTCGCAATAGGTAGGACAATGATCGATTCTGCTGCAGCTTCGGATAGAAACATTTCAAAATAAGAATCTTGCATGAAATTCAAGCCAAATCATAAACCGAATAACTGAATCTTTAAGCTATGTTACATGGAAAATTCCTATCATTTTCTATTTTGCTTGAACAAAGAGAAAATACCTTATAGGTTTCCTGCGCATCAGGTTCTGCTGTATATCAACTCAAACCAGTATACACTAGAAGAAGCTAAGATACCTATAGCAGATCAGAAGGCTCAGAATTAGTAGGAAAGATGATAACTTTTGTCAAATGGAAATGTAAGCGTAGAGATGGATATACAACTACTAGAAAGGAAAGGGCTCAGAAAACCAAAAATTAATATATAAGCACAGGTGTAAAAGATGGTGTAACAACACAGCATGTTAATTGCATAGCAAAATTAAAATAGACAAAATAGGAGCATAATTTAATAATTGCATACAAAAATATAACATTCAATGAGAATTACATGATGAATAATAACTGCTTCAAACAACACGAATCTGACCATCATAACCATAGTTCTTCAGGAGGCTTTCATCTTGCCGCCAATTTTCTTTAACCTTCACTACAACCTACCATACTCATGAGAGCATATTTAGAATCTAAGAATAACTGAACACTTAGTAAAATAAAGGATTCAAAATATTAATTGCATGAAACAACACTGCAACCTCGAGATAGACTTTTTTTAGCAGGAAAACTTCAATATCAAGCCGCGAAGCTGTTGCTAGCATTTTCAAAGCCTTCCCATCCTGCACTTTGTTGAAATATAAAGAAACAGAACATTTAAGTTTGTAACTAGCATTTACTGCATTTATGAATAAAGCTATAAGAAATGGTATGCAAGAACTAAATTTAAAAAAAAATTTGAAACCTTATAGCAGACCATAAAAAATAAACAAAAAGACTTGCAACGCATAAGTCATGTTTTAGCATGTTCACATGCTACTTACAGCTTTCCTACATCACTGTATTCATTCTATACCATCTCCCATACAAAAATATGGTGCCATAGACTGAAAATAACAAGAGTAAGCATTGCGTTTGCGGGGATACGGATCAATCATGAAAGAAGAAGGTGTAAGGTTTTACAGCTAAACATAGAAGTTTTTAATAGAATATGGACTTCAACCAAAAATAAATAAATAAATAACACATTAAAGTAGGCAAAAGAGTTGAGAATCAAACCATGGCATTAAGAGACTGCAGCATGTAATGGCCTAATGTTTAGTTTATTTCTACGTTATTTTTAATTTATTGATGTAAAACTAAAGTTTATACTCGTAGGAAAGAAAAAATGTCTGCGCTGAGATAATCAGAACAATATTGTTGCTTTGATCTACTTAATTTTCTTAGAATCTTGCTTATGAAGAAGTTTACTGTTTTCTTGTATTGCTCCTTTCCTTCCTTCCTGTTGCAATATCTGTGGTTGTTCATTACTCGTGAAGCATTAATTCACTGTTAAAGAACCGCTAGTTTTTTCTTCTTCCAAGACAATTACCCTACGAGATTATCTTTTACTAGCATTGGCATGAGGCTATAAAGTCAGTCATCTGCTATTTAGCCACCGACTAAGTTGTTCGCGCTAGTTCAGATGATATAGTGACACCGAACACAAAAAAGCAGTTGGGGAAGTTGTAGGATTGATACCGCGGGTGGCAGGATGGAAGGCGGCTGATATTGCGGAGAGATTATTGTCTTGAACTCCACCACCAACTCTCCTTAAGACTTTGCAGTACTTGAAATGACATTCACCTCTATCATTTTATGTTTCTGACTTAGATTTTTCATTTCTGAACTTAAATCTATCTCTAGTTGTATTCATATCCAAATTTCTTCATCTATTCCAAATATTTAACATAGAATCTGAAGATTCACCGCTTGATGCCTTCTCGTGAACTTCATTAATTAGTAATAACCCCATGATGTTATCAAAGTTTAACTTTATATTACATAGAGTTACTACTGTGACAAGTCCATCCCAGTTATCTGGCAATAAAGATAGAATTAACAAAGCCCTGACAACGTCATTGAACTTGATGCCCATAGAACACAACACAACAGGTTTATCACAGTATTGAAATTATTCAAATGTTCAGCCGCTTAACACTTCCATCATCTTCGTATTGAATAATCTTTTTATCATAAAATCTTTATTAGAAGCAGATGGTTTATTATACATCTTTGAGATCCACCATAAATTTCTCATTCACTATGCTGAAAAAAACAGAAGAGGAAAGTGAAAGATGGATCAAACCTGGATGTTCGATCAAGCACTTCCCATTCCTCTAGATTCATCAATTCGAGCTTATTAGTGGTTCCTTATAGTAGAAGATAGCTTCATTTGATACAAAAAATCTTCCACTTGCATCTTCTAGAACGCAAAGTTCAAATTGTTAAACTTCTCCACCATATACCTCCCTTAGATGGTCATTGCTCCCACCCGAATAAAAAGTCTGAAGAAAAACCTCGCTTTGATACCACTCCTCGGGATAGAAACATGAGATTTGATCGATTCACAACCAAAACCACTCTGTGGAAAAAATGGACCTATTTGATAGAACAAGAACAATAAAATGAAGGTGCATGATAAATAAATCTAGTAAAAACACACAAATAATGTGGAAAAATCTGATAGCAAGAAAAAATCACAGCGCCACAACGCCAAAAATTTTACTATGAAAAAAGAATAGTATAAAATTAAACTACTCAAATTGACTTTACACTATTAGAACTTGTAGCAATTCACACTGCTTTCTCTCTTGATCACACAAGAAAAAGCACTCGCCAAAATTTAGCCTCGACTCGCTCTATGCAACTTCGCTCTTGTTACGCAAAGTCAAGAATACACTGCACAAGAGTATGATCTTTCGTGAAAAAGGCCTTAAATCCCTAACTACGTGTTGTTGACCTCATTTTTGTGAGGTCTTTCCTTCTTCATAGAGCCTAGGATCTAGCTCTAGGAGTTTCTATTGAACATCTTAGAAAACTAGAAATTGGTACCCATCATTTTAGAAATTCCAAAATACTTCTTATTTTTCTGTGATGTCTAGCAATCATGACCTCAAAATCATCGTCTTATATAAGAGCAGTTAAAAGCTATTATGTGAAGACTCAAGGTAAAATTTTCAATAGGACCTCAAACCCTAAGAAAACCTCCTCATGACTTTATCGTCACATACACACACCAAATGCACAAAATTCACAAAATTGCACGAGATGGGACTTCAATTGAGCCTAAAGGCCGGGTGAAAATGCGAACTTCTCCGGACGACCGGCAATGACAAAATGGACTGCGCCAACGCATTCGGGACACTAATTCTAGTAGGAAATGACACTCATATTGTCATTTTTCCGACACGAGAAAATTTGCACGTAAATCGATGAATTCGTCAAAATGACATCGGGCGGCGAAACGGACCGCTCCAACGCATCCGGAACGTCAAGATTACCTAAAAATAATACCAATTTTGTTATGTTTTGATGCACGGTTGAAAAGTACGAATTGAATTTTATTTTTAAGAAACATTAAATTATTTTATATATTTATCACTTATATTATTATTAAAACCCTAAGCCTTATTTAAGGCTCCACCCGCATGCTTAAACCCTTCGTTCGAGCCATCTTCAGGCTCAATCCCGCGGCTCATCCCGTTCCTTGCCCGTGACCTAGCTTCCACGATGGATCCACGAGGCTCGCGTCTTCTTCCCGTCTCTTCCCCTTCTCTACGTGGCACGAAAGCCATGTGGTTCTCCAATTAGAGGAGGCGGGCTGGCCGACGCTCCTACTCGAGGCTATGAGCTCTCCCCCTTTATTACGACTCTTTCTTTCCTCTTCTCGGTTGATTGGCTAGGGCGGCAAACGGTTGGCATTCTCTTTTCTTTTATTTGCCTTTTGGCTTCTTGGGGAGTTAATTCTTGTGTGGGGGTTGTTAAAAAGTTTGTGAGAGAAAAAGAGAGGGTTTTCTTTGAGAGAAAAAGAAGCTTTTGGAGGAACTTGATATTTTCTTTCTTTCTTCTTTACTGTTGGAAAAAGTACTTTCTACTTTTGTCGTTCAAGAGATCTTCTTCCTTTCTGTTGTTTGAGGATCTTTCGACCTGGAATTGTCGAACTGGGAATTAGGAAATCGTGGGAGCTATTTGCGTGAGGCTTTTTTTGCGTGAGGCTTTGCGTGAGGCTTTTTGGGAGGATTTCTGTGGGGGGGAGTTTTCTTCAATTTATTTTAGTGTTTTGCTACACTAAAGAGGTATTCTTTTCTTCTTTATTTTACACCATTTAGGATGGCAAGAACAAAAGGATGATATTTCTTTCCTCTCTTTTAAAAGCATGAGAAAGTAAAAAAAATGGAGGCTTATTAGTAAAAAAAATGGAGGCCTTATTTTGAATTTTAAGCATGAATATTTGCTTAGGTTGGTGAGAAATGAAGCATATATATATATATGTTACCTTTATTTTTCTTTTTCTTGAAACATATGAAGGCATTGGTAGAGCGGTTTGGAAATACATTTTATTCCCTTATAAGTGTCTATGGAAAGCATGTGTGGGCTATCTTTACTTGAGATACTTGAAAGCATGGCTAGGGTGGTTTTGGAATGCATTTTACTCTTTTAGAAATACATGCTGGAAAATATATTTGGGGTTTATATCTTATTCTTGCTGCCCCTCATTAAAATGCATCCTGGAAATCATTTTTGTGAGTTGGAAAATTACATTTGGGGCTTATATCTTGTTTATCTTGCTGCCCCTTGCTAGAATGCATGTTAAAAATTATTTTATGAATTAGAAAAGATGTGTTTGGAGCTTATCTGTTGCTTCTCTAGCTGCCCCTTGTTAAAATTATGCTGGAAACTATTTGTATGGGCTGGAAAAATGTATTCAAGGCTTATGTGTTGCTTCTCTTGCTGCACCTTGTTAGAATACATGTTGAAAATAAAATGCTGAGGGCTTTTATTATTGTTATTTTCGAATCAAGGAAAGAGCTGGAATTCATTTCGATATCGATCGATATCGAAAAGTATTTGGCTTTAGGGATTCATTACAGTTATTTATTTCCTGTTATCAATTTTTTGCCTAAAACATATGCTGGGATGCAGGAAATTTTGAAGTAAAAGGCTTTAAGAAATTTGATTTTTATAGCTTTGTTTTGATTCATTCAACGAGTTCGATTTACCAAGAATGTCTCTCTGTTTTTGCTCCCTTTTGCTAGACTTGATTTTTGCCCATTTATTGGGCTCGTTTTAGCCTTTATGCTGCTCATTTTGCCCCTGTACTGGGCTCGGTTTGGGCACCTTTTTGGTGATTTATGTAGGCTGAAGTCTTTTTACTGTTTTGGACTATTTCTGGGCTTTGTTTGCCCTTGTATTGGGCTCGGTTTGGGCTCTTTTTTGGTAATTTATATTGGCTGAGGTCCCTTACTATTTTGGACTATTTCTTGAGCTTGGTTTGCCTTTGTATTGGGCTCGGGTTGCCCCTTTTCCTGGGTTCGGTTCCTTTTCCTCGGGTTGCCCCTTTTCCTGGGTTCGGTTTGGGGCTCTTTCTTGGTGACTTATGTTGGCTAAAATCTCTTATGGTTTAGACCTTTTCTTGGGCTTGGTTTGCCCCTTGTGATGAGCTCGGTTTGACACTTTTGTTGGACATGGTTTGGGTGGGGGCTTCCTCTTTAATGCTCTTCCTAAGATGTGTTTTTAGTAATCAAGTTTGTCATCCCAAAATGCATTCACTATCTACCTGTAGAGTGAGATGTTCAAAATG